CAGTAGATGGCTGGAGGTGTGGAAGGATTTTCTGGAATGAGTTCCGGGAATGTGATGGTAATAATCATGACTGATACAGAAAATAAGTTGGTTCATCCCATACCCGATCAGCAAAGCTTACTCCCCATTTTCCTCTTACTTCCAATCCCAATGTTTGCATCCACATAATGAACTCCAGAGGGCAACTTATGTTAGCTTGCCTAAAGGTCTCAGAACAAAGCCTCTGGGATACAAAGATGGTACAAGAACCCAGCTGGGACTAGATGGAGGGAGGAAGTGGGTGGAGGAAGGGAGGGGGGGAGAACAAAAGAGAAGAGAGGAGAGAGGGAGGGAGGAAGGAAAGGAAGGAAGGGAAGGAAGGAAGGAAGGAAGGAAAGAGAGAAGGAAAGGAGGGAAAGGAAGGAAGGAAGGGGCTCAAGAAACTCGGAGGATAGCTAAAAGAGCAATGCTGGGAAGTACAGGACTGAGGCCCCCTAAGGGTAGGGGTGGGGGTGGGGGTGGGGGGTGCGGAATTGTAAAGTTAACAGGGATGTGGCTTTCCAGCTGGACTGAAGGTCTGTTAATCCATCCTTAAGGCTTGCCCTGCCCTTGGAAGACCTGGCTGACCTCAGTAACCTGCCCCATCCCACTTTTGGGAAACAAAGGGGTTATCTAATTGGCTCTACCTGGGCAGTTTCCCCCACCCCCAGCACTTGAACTGGGTGTGGAAGTGCAGGCCCAACACGTGGACACACAGCCACCCCAAGGCAAGCTCTCCCACTTTGCCAATTAATCTCTTTGTGTGTCTGAGTTCAGTGAAGTACACTGCAAACTTCAAGTCCACTTGTCCTAGTAGAAAATGTCCCCTTCTCTTTCAAGAGTGAGATTCTTTCTCTGGCTCCCCTAGCACTTGCAGAACTCATGCCAAGCTCATTACAGACTACTCCAACCCCTTCTGGTAGGGAGAAAGCCCTTGGCCTGGATGGTAGTTCTCTGGAGCAGGGATGGAGATAAGGATGGAAAAGGTGGAAGATTTTTCTTCAAGGAGGAAAATGAAGATGCCCTTCCTGGAAAGGACAAGACATTTTCTTTACTCCTCTCTCCCCTGCATATATACAGGCAGGCTCACCAAGATTACAGAGGGACCATCCAGTGCAAAAAGTTCATTTGGCATGTGACCAAAATGAGGCCCAAGGTATCAGAGTCAGAGTATCACCAAAGAACAAAGCAGCCCAGTCTCCAGTCAGCCTCTGCCAGCAAGGCTGGAGTGGAGGGATTAGGGGCATCAGGAGAGGGGACTGAGCCTAGGAGAGGGTTCTGCCACCTGCCTCTCTCTCGACTGCCTCTCCTGCTTCATGTGCTGGTGTGGGGACTAGATCTTGATCTACTGAGCCTCAAGGCTAGCCCGGCTGAGGCAGGTGCAGCTGCAGGAGGAATTCCTTCTCCAGCTCAGTCAGCTGTTTCGGTGGAGAAGCTGGTCACAGGAGGACTGGGGTGGGCACTGGGGCTGGGGGAATGGTGGTGGTAGGGCAGGGTCACAGCTGCCTGGGGTACCACACAGTGGGACAGTCTGGGAGACCCTGCTGACCCGCAAGAGGCCTCTCCCTGCCCACCCTCCACACTGTGCCTTCCCTGCCTATGCTCCTCCCAAATGGGATCCCCTTTCTGTTAACTGAATTTTGTCCTCTCTTCTTTTTTTCCTCTCTATCTCTCTGTAACTTTATTGTTCATTTATCCTTCCTTCTTTTGCTTTCTTTCTTACCCACCTTCTCCTTTTTCTCTCTGTATTCTTCCCTTCCCTGACCTTTCCTTCCTTTTGCCCTTCCTCCTATCTTTCTTCCTTTCTTACCTAATGCTCCCTTCCTTTATTTTACTTTTTCTTACTACTTCTTTTCCTTCCCTTTTCTTTTACTTTCTAGCTCCCTCCTTTTATTAATGCTTTTTTTCTTTTCTTCTTTCTTTCTCTTTGTTTCCCTTCTGCTTTTTTCATCATGAAACTTACTAATCCTGGTTCTTCATTCTGTCCTTTGCCAATATTCCTTCATGATCATCTCTCTCCCAGCCACTCTCCCGGGGTCTCTCTTTCTGTCCCAACATTAGGGCTTTCTCAAATCTTTTCTTCCCTCACATCTTTTCTTTGTTGTTCTCAGTTTTCCATTCCTTTGTGCTGTTTCCCTGACCTTCTTTCTACTTTCCTTTTTTTTTCTAAGTTTCTCTCTGCAACAGGCATATGACATAAAACAGCCCCCTCCCCAAGTCAGGGCTCTGTCCTGTGTCAGCTCAGCCATCCTTCATCATGCCATTCTTTCTCATCTTCCCTGAATTCGGGGCTCAATCTCAAGGGCCCAGGAAGGGGGCTGTTCCCCACAGTTGAAAAGACAGGGCTGGGTCCACAGCTCCCCACCACAGGCTTAGGGGAGCCTTCCCAAACTGTCATTCTGTGAATCTTAATAAAAAAGAGAAAGGGAAGAAAGGACAGGGTAAAAGAGAGACAATCCCGCAGATTGTGGGGTGAGGGGTTGGAGGAGCATGGGGGAGACAGGGGTGAAAAGATTGGCTTCATCAAAGAGGGAGGGGGCAAAGCCAAGAGCCAGGGGCCTTCTCACAGCGCAACCAAAGCCTCGCAGCCGCAAAAGAAGCCTCAGGCGGCTCCGTGTTAATTTTGGGATTGGGGCGGAATGAGATCTTCCAGCCAACTGCTCTGGGCTGGAGAGGTGCGCAGGGCCCCAAGGTGGGAGGAAAGAAAAGGGCTTAGATTGGTTCTGAGTATCAGTTGCCTTCCCGTCTGCCGCGGGACGCGTCCTTCTCAAGGCCCGGTGTTTTGGAGATCACGCTTTAGGCAGGGCCTGCTGGGGCTCCTGAACCTCTCTCAGGCAGGTCCAATTCCGGGGCTCCGGTAGGAGCAGGTGCCGGGGCACCCGCCGGGTTACTAGCAGAAAAACATCGGGTGCAGCGAAAACAAAGGCCTGGGAAGTTCTGCCGCTCCTGACAGCAGGGCCAAGTGGCCTGTGGAGGTGAAAGTGCGGGCTGGGCAGGGGCCAGGGACATCGCGTTGTCGACGTGGGAATTGTTTCCCGGGACCCACAGCCCCTCTTGGCCCTTCCCAAAAATCGGTGCCAATGCGCCGGCTCCCGGCCCGCCAGGTTCCTCAGGGCCGCACCGCAGACTCCTGGCGCGGCGGAGGCTCTCCGCCCCGGCCGGGCCTCGAGAGCTCCCCAGCCTCGCCAGCGCACCTGCAGCTGCCCCGGCTTCCCCAGATCACTCCCCAGGCTGGCCCGGCACTGCCTCGGCCTGCCTACACCCCCCACTCTGGTCCCGGCCCTCCCCACCCCACCCCCAGTTCAGCTGCGCCCTCTGAACGCGTCCTCTGCCCTTGACTGTCTTTTGCAGAGCCTCCTCTATTTCTCTCGTGAGTTTTCTTGCGGGTGGGGCAATCTCAGCTCCGGGAAGGGCAGGGCACTCTTTCTGCCTCCGTGAGCTGGAGAAAGTAGAATGGTTATACTGGGGGTGGGGGAGAGGCGGGGGGGGGCACTCCCTTGACTCTGTCTTAGGAACATGGGTTCTGAGTCAAATTGGACTTAAAAGAAGAAGGTATGTGGGAGTTGTTCCCTCCCTTGGGTCACTCCTAATGACAATCAGCAAGAGCTCCCAGGGCAGCCGGGGCCGAGGCTGTCCTGGGCAGAGAGGCTTTGGGCCGGCAGCGTCGGCAACTGCTGTTTTCGGCTGGTGCTCGTCTGTCTTCCACCGAGACCCTCTGAGGATCTCCAAGCGCATTTAAGGGCTTGCTGGGACGAGCAGGTTCTAACCGCCTGGGTTTTCCTACGTCGGAATCAGCCCTGGTTGGGAAACCAGCAAACGCGTCCATCCTTCCTTCCACAGGGGAAGCGGACCGCCCCTCCCTCCCACTTTAAACCCCAACACCCCAACTCTGCTCCCTACGGAGTATCCCTTCAAAAAACTTTTCTGAACTTCCCGCAAGCTGCGATTGGGGACAGAAGTAATCAGACTCTTTCGGTCTCTAGGGCCCTGATTTCTCCCATCCTCCCCAGTTTCAGAAGCCACCCTTCTCTTTCCTCTGCCATCTGCCGCGGTAGTCCCAAAACTCAGGGGAGAGCTGCCCTGGCCCCACGCGCGGGACAGACGCCCAGCCGCAGCACTGACTCCTCTGGGGCGGGCAGATTAGCATCTGCCTGCAGGGAAACGGGATGGAGCAGGAAGGGGAGACACACACACACACACACACACACACACACACACACACACAGAGAGAGAGAGAGAGAGAGAGAGAGAGAGAGAGAGAGAGAGAGAGAGAGAGAGAGAGAGAGAGAGAGAGAGAGACATTGTTTTGAGGCTCCAGCGCAGCAGCCCTCTGGGGCCCAACTCACCTGCCCCGGACAGGCTCCTCTTGATTTTCATCCGCTCCAAAGTTTGTCCTCTCGAACGGTCCCGGGCGGCCCGCAAACTCTGCGGTCGGGGTGAGCAGGGCGCCCCCGAGGGCGCAGGCGCCTGATCCACAGTAAGCCCCAGGGACCTAGGGGTCCGGTGCACCTTCCCCAAAGTGGGGGCCGAAGCCGCGATCCAGAGAGGGGACATTCAAGCGTCCAGGGCAAGGGGTCAGGCTCAAGCCTGGGGACTGCCCCGGACTGAGTGGGCGCTATAGAGGGAGTGTCCAGCCCCGCCGGCCCGGCCCGGCCCGGGAACTGTAAGTAGAGGGCCCAGGGTCCTTGGTGACGTTTCTCGCTTCTCCAGTTTCTGTCCTGACGGGTGTGTCCCAGCCCACAGAATTCCCTCGACCCCTTGTGGGACGGCACTCAGGTCCCGGACAAGGCGGAGACGGGGGACGCAGAGACCCCCTGTATCCCCTCCCCAGTCCCCGCGCCACCACTCCCCCCCCCCCCACTTCTCTGCCCAGAGCCGAGGGACAGAGAATTGCAACTAGAAATTCGATCGATTGGTACGAGGGACCACGTGTTCCGGGGCTGGCCAATGACCAGGACGCCCGGGATGAGCTAATAATGGAAGCAATTTGTAACTTTCAGTAGCTCTCCGGGACTGGGTACCGGAGGGAGGCGGGCGGAGGTGGGGAGATGGGTACCTCCAGTCCTTCCACTCTCCTCGTTCATCCTCGGGCACCCGGACCCCCCAGGCCTCCTTTCCCCCGGCACGCAGGCCCTGGCAGGGTCCCTCGCCCGCTCTGTCCCGCGGTGGCTCCGGAGCAGCAAGGTAAGCGGGCCCTCCACTCCTCAAACACCCCTCCCCCGGCCTTTCTGTCACCTGCAAACAACGTCCCCCTTTCTGCCCCATTAGGAAATTTAAATCCGATTTTGTTTTTGTCTTAGTTAAAAAAATTATTTTATATTTTTTGTATAATCTATTTCAGATTTGGGGAAAGATTAAGTTCAGATTAATATACTTTTCCGGGCGGGAAGTGGCACTTTTGGGATAAATTTTATATTCCCTTCTTTTGGAGAGGGGCATTCTACTTACGGAGAGTTTACTTTTCTCTGGGGGTGAGTTGCCCCTTGTGTTTTTGCAAGTCCAGTTTCTCTGATGACATCAAGTTCACACCTTTCTCCAGCCCGGCTTCCAGTTTCAGTATTTACAAATAATCACTTAGAAGATTTCAAGTTCATTCGTTTGTTTGTCTCCTCCCTCACTAGTTTTTCAGCTGTTGATGAGTCTCTTTGATTTTTTTCCTCCGTGGGTGGACCGAGAGTTAGTTTTGTGTTCATTTCCCTTTTCCGTTTTGTAAATGAATTTATTGTTTGGGAAACTCTGTGGGGGTGTGAATAAGGTCTCTTTTGATTAATTCCAACGCCTCCTCTTTTGAAGAACAATTTACTTGAAGTGTTTTATACATTGATCTCATTTTTGTTTATTGTGTCTCAGTTTTGATGTTCTGTATTTTATCTCCTTTTAAAGCCCAATCTGTTCTTTAATCTTTTAAAATGTCAAACCATTCCAGAAGTTTTTATTTTGTAAACTTCACCGTTTTGTTCATTTCCTTGCCCTTCCCCAAGCTCCTTTGCACTCCAGCCTCCTCCATGTCAGGACCCCCGCTGCCAACTTCCACAATTCCCAGCTTCACGTCTGACTCACCCTCCCAGCCGCGGAGGGGTGCTGGGAGGAAGGCAGTGCTCCCGGGGTCAGAGCCTGTACCCCGGCTTCTGGTTCGGGGCACCTCTAGTCTGACCCTCTCACGCCAGCAAAATCAGGGGGAGCAGAATTTCTGTTCCACTTTTTTAGTCTGGGACTAAGCTCTTTCTCCTTGGCTCTGTTTGGGGCAACTCTTTCGTAGATAAAGTTAATTTCTAATTCTCATCTTTCCCCTAAATTCTAAGAAAAGTACAAGCAGATATTTTTTTCCCCCTAAGTAGAAGCTGTTAGCTGGGGAAGGGGGGGTCAGCCTGTTGGGGCCCTTGCCTCCTGGAAGAACATTTTCAGGAGAGACACAGTCTTCAGCCCCTCCCCTTTTTACTTGTGATTGGAGTGGAGGTGGCAGGGACTGGGCAACACTAGTTTGATCTCCATCGCTGGCTGTGAACAGACACAAAGAAGGAGAAAGAGCGGATCCCTTCTAGTCAGTGAGGTCTGGCTTGGGAGAGTTTGGGGCACATCCCAGCTCTGAGGACATTCTTTTAAGTAAAGTAAACCATTTCAGCTTCTTCAGATTCACTGCAGGCACAAAAATCAAATTATGAGAGTAACCTGTTTCTCAAAGACCTGCCCCTGGTGACCGTGTCCGCTCCTCGGAGGGAAACAGAGCCCGAGTGGGCAGAAGTGAAGCTGTCGCCGCCCCTCCTGCCTGGCTGCTCCAGCTTCAGCGGCGTCACATTGGCATTCCAGGCACATTCAGCCCAGCCCCCGTCCCAGCTTCTCCCAAGTATGAATCTAAATTACTATTAATAAGGGGCTGCTCCAAGTTAATTGGCATTAAAAGAATTCATTTCAATTTGTTAATATTAAATGAACACTCTGCACTTTAGCTCCCTTCTTCGCTCTGGAATCCCAGATGAGTGATGGGAAGTAGGAGGGGGTCGAATGAGGATTTTATTTCTGACTCTCCAGCTTAGCCACTGTGGTGCCTCCCCCCAGGGGTGGGAGATCAAGGCACAGTGGGGAACGCTGATGATCTCTGTGGTGAAATTCATCTGATTCAACTGGAGCTGGGGGGAGGGGAGAGGGGCACAGAGGCAGGAGGACTGAAAGGTATGGGAGGCATTGGTGGGGAGAGGGGGGCAGGGAGGAAAGGGGCATGAAGGACCAGAATGCTTGGAGGACAAGGGCTGTGCTCTTTGGAGGGAAAGCACAGTTGTAAAGGAAAGCGCTGATTGTTGAAAAACCCTCCTAGAGGAGGGAAAGCTGGGTGGGGTTGGGGTGGGGCTGAGGGTGGGGTATTGAGGCAAAGCAGTTGGGGGTTGTGAAGCTATAAAGCAGAGTGACTTTAGGCAAGTTGCTTAACTTTTCTCTCTGCCTTAAGTTTCTTGACCTGTAAAACAAGGATAAGAATAATAGTACCTGTCTCAGGGGGTTGTTTGGGATTAGATGAAATACATGTAGTGTGTTTTCCACAGTGCTCGGCACATAGAAACTATCAGTGTATTACCTCTTGTTACATACAGTGTAGTGGTTAAAGCATGGGTTCTGGAGCCAAACTGCCTGGTTTTGACTCTCAGTCCTGCCTTCCATTAGCAGTGCGACCTTGGGCAAGTTCCTTAACCTGTCGGTGCTTCGGTTTCCTGTTTGCAAAACGGAGTGAATGGCTCATAGACTGTTGTAAGGATTAAACGAGTTTATACATATGAAGTACCTACAACAGTGTCAGTTGCATGGGAAGCCCTATATAATCCCCAGCTATTAGTTTTTTAAAAATAATTTTTAATTTTTCAATTACAGTTGACGATTGATGTTGCTTCTCTGCTCTGGGAAGACTGGAGATAGGAGCATGGAACCTCCTAGAGGCTGAGAGCTGAGCGGACTCCCTGAGGCTGGGAGCAGATCCACCCTCTCACCCCCACCCCTGAGTCTGGTCAGACGATTGGGGTGCCCGTGGTGAGGGCAGCGAGAGTGGGCCCGGGCCCTGGTAGCTGGGGCGCCTGATTTCTTCCCTAACCTCTGTTCTGGCTCTTGGGCTGATGGTCCCCTATCAGTGCCCACCGACTGCAGGGGAAGCCACTGCTTTTCCCCTGGAGGGCTGTGACGGGGAAATTACTTCCCTTGTCTAATACTCCCTTTGGTAGAATCACCTCTGGAGTGTGTGTAGGAGGTGATTGGGTGGAGACTCACATTTACTAAATACCCTCTGACTATGGACCAGCCCACACATCCATGATCTCACTTGAGAGGGTGGGGAAAACAGAGGGCTAAAAAGGTGGAGTAACTTGCCGAAGACATAAAGCAAAGAAAGTGGCAGAGCTGGAATCTGAACTCTGATCTGCCTGATGACAAATCTTAACTTACTTCCATGGCTGCACATTTTCTGAAGGGGGAGGGGAGACACATGGAAAGTCGGGACCAGGATGAGGCCAGGACCATAGAGCCTCTGGAGGATGGAAGGTGGGGAGTGGGGGAGTGGGGATGGGAGGAGGCCAGGTGGGAATGTTTCAGTCAGGGAGGACTTCCTAGGGGAGGAAAATGCAGATCAGAGTTCAGATGTGAAGGGAATGAGGATACTAAGTAAAGAAGAGGGAGGGAGTGGTGCATTGCAAAGAGGGAGAGGAAGAAAGGGCTATCCAAAGGTCAAGTGAGGCCAAGGGACGTGAATCTGATTTGCCTGGGGTTTGCCTTGCTGGCACCAGGTAAAATCAGTTACCAGGTCCTGAGGGCCCACTCTGAGCCAGCTATGGGCATTATCCGTCAATGCTGACACACAGCAACCCTGAGAAGTATGTTTCTTATTCCTATGTCCACAAGAGCCAGTTGAAGCTCAGAGACCTTAATCCCCACTTCAGGTGACACATTTGGTAGCTGGACTTGCCTGGCACAAAAACCTGTGCCCGGGCCACCTGCAAAGCGTGTCTTGCCTTCCATTCTGAGTTCAAATGATCCTGCATCCCCACATGTATTGTCACATGTGGTGACAGGAGCCGGGTGAGAGAGTGAGATGAGACGGAGTGGGATGGCCAGCCGGCAGTGGTAGAAGGAACCTTTCTCATGCCCTAGTGAGGAGAATGGATAGAAGGGTGGGACAAGGCCTCCAAACCACTTTCCTGGGACTGCTAATCTTGGGTGGGTGGCAGGACCTCATTGGGAATCACACTGTTTTCTGGGCGGTGGGCGGTGGACTCTGGGAGGGGAAGAGGAAGAGGGCAGCTTAGGGGTGGGTCGAGCCCTGGATTAAGACTGCCAGTTTCCCACTGAAGTCCCTTCTCTCCTTGTCATGTGAGGATAGAGAGTCTCCCAGCCGGACACTCCACTTTCCAGCTGCCCTTTCTACAAGGTGTGGCCAGCAGGGAATGTGAGCTAGATAATATTATCAGAGCCTTAAAACATGGGGTAAGTTCTCCTTTTTTATGAGCTGGACCAGATACGCCTGAGACTGAGCTTTGACTGCAATGGAGGAGAAATTCCTAAGCGAGGGCAGGGCAACAATGTACTAGGAACCCAAGTTCCTGACTGACCAAGTGGAGCAGAGCGATCTGCCATCCAGGACTGCCCCCTTCCACTGTTACGTGAGAAATAAACTTGTTTTCTGAATGTGACTGTGTTCTGGACCCTTTTTTTGTCGCAAGTTTTTCCACTACCCTCCCTATTATACCTTTCCACACCAGATTTGTCCGTTGAAACCAACCAGAAGGATTACATCAGATTATGGAATAATTATAACATCATTTACTGAGTGCCAGAGATTATGCACATCATTTAATGTTATTCTCATGACAGTCTTCTGACATAAGCATCACTATTATTTCAATTTACAGATGAGAAAACTGAGGCCCAAAGGAGATGAGAGACATTTCAATGGACACATAGTAAGTGATATGTCTGTGATTCCAGCCCACAGAGAGTGCGGAGCTTAAACTTTTTACCTTGGGGCAAAGCCCTTCCTGGGGGCAGAGGTGGAAGGGACCTTGGAGGTCATGCTATGCTTGGCCAAGCTCCTTCGCTGTCACCACAGTGGGGGCCCGTGCACCTCCTATGCTCTCTTCAACCCAAGAAGCTTACTGGACACTCCTGTTAGATACTGGGCTTTGACATAGGTCTTATTTGAAGAAAAGACCACACAGCTAGAACCAGTTTGAAAACCTTTGGTAATTTCAATCCTTTCCCATTTTTAAATTATAGATGAAGCTGAGAGGAAGTGCTTCTTAAGGTCACACACTTAGTTTTTCTGTCGATTTGCTGAATCCAAGATGCGTTCCCTTCCCACCATTTCAACTGCCTGAACAACCCACAAGAACAAAATTAATCTAAACCAGGCAGGGGGCCTACAACAGCCAAGTCGTGATTCCCTCATTTCCCCTGTGTCCCTCCTGTTGGGTATCTGCCTTGGTGACCCACCTCCCTGGCCCTGGGGAAATGAATGGGCGGCACCTTTTCTCCAGCTGCCTCCTCCTCTGGATGTTCAGACACGCAAAGGAAAGAAAGCCAGAGCCACAGCGGAGGCAGGCCCAGATCCCTCTGACTCCCTCTAGTCTTTCCACATCACCCTCCTCCCTTCCTAGTGGCCCACCAGGGAGGAGAAGGGGGAACACTGTCATAAATTTCCCCTATTTATACAAGAAGACAGAATGTTTCTTGTGCCAGAAAAAACACAGAGAGGGAGCTGTCAGGGGAGAAGGGACCCAGCTCCACACCGCCTGGGGACAATTTATCTTCCCCAGTTGTGCCCTGGAGGCTGCCATAACACTGCCTGTGTGACCCATGGGCTCTGGCTTGGGGGGCAGCCAGGACCAGCAGTGTCTGGGCTTTGTTTCTGGTCACTGCCTTCCCGCTCCATCCCTCCCACCCCACTCTCTCTTTTTAAAAACAAGTTTCATGAGATATAATTCACATACCATACGATTCATCATTAAAATATACAATTCAGTGACTTTAGTATATTCCTAGATATGTGCAACTATCATCACAGTTAATTTTAGAACATTTTCATCACCTCCAAAAGAGACCCCCTGCCCTTTACTACCCCCTCATCCCTCAAACCCCTTCCAGCCCTAAGCAAACCCTAATCTTTCTGTCCTTATATATTTCTCTGTTCTGGACTTTCTTACGAAGGGAATCATATACAATGTGGTCTTTTCTGACTTCTTTTGTTTAGCAAAGTGTCTTCAAGGTGCATCCATGTTGCAGCATGTGTCAGTGCTTCATTCCTCTTTATGGCTGGATTGTATTTCACTGCACGGACAGGTCACATTTTGTTTACCCATCTGTCAGTTGACAAACATTTGAGCTGTTTCTACCTTTTGATATTGCGATTTTCTTTTTATTATTCTGCCTCTAGACAGCCTGAATCACACGAGTGAGGTCTGTGGACAAGAGTGTATGCCTTGCGTGTGGGAGCACCCAGTATCTGTGGGAGCAGCGTCCTGGATCATGTCTTTTTTGTGCTAATGACATACACTATGCTGTACTATTCCTCCCTTTACTAAGTTACTGAGGAGGCAGCTATATAAATTCTCTCTTTTTATCATTGTTGTTATTTTGGTCACTTGCTATACTCTTCAGACTGGAGGACTCAAAGACTTCTCCAGGGGTTTTAGATAAACCCAAGTGGATGAATGGATGTCTCCCACTGGAGATCCTTCAGTATCTCACAGTTGAAGGGAGGTCTGTGGAGGCTCCAGGGTCAAGGGAAAGTTTTGTCCTTGGAGGTGTGACTAAGTCCAGAATGCAGGCCTCCAGCCCCCAGCTCTTTGCCCAGCCAATTTCAGTCTTGATGACATGCTTTGAGCTCCACCCAGTTACTCAGCAAGCGTTCATCGAGCATCTGGAGAACCCAGCAGACACTGCTCCTGCCCTCATGAACCTTGCAGTTCTAGTGGTAAGGGTAAGATAAATACAGTGAGCAAAATAATGAGCTTTGTCAGCATTTGTTGAATGAATGAATGAATGAATGAATGAACGAACGAATGAATAAATCACTTTCTGTGGACACCAACTTTTCTAGTCTGGATATTAGCACACAGTTTTCCACCCCTCAGAGGGAATGGTGTGCAGGTAATGCAAAATATTAGCTAATAGCTACCATTCATTAGACTAGACGTGTACCAAGGAACTTATGTATCTTATTGATTGTCACCTTTTTAAAAAAGATTTTATTTATTTTTAGAGAGGGGAAGCAAAGGAGAGAAACATCAATGTGTGGTTGCCTCTTGCACACCCCCTACTGGGGACCTGGCCCACAACCCAGGTATATGCCCTGACTGGGAATCAAACCTGCGACCCTTTGGTTCACAGGCTGACACTCAATCCACTGAGCCACATCAGAGCCACACCAGCCAGAGCTGATTCTCATCTTTTTTTTTTTCCTCCTAAACATCACTGTGTTGTTCATTCCTTGGTTGAATTCTATTTATGCATTCCTTCATTGACTCTTGTATGTGCCCTGACTAGGGATCACACTTGCAACCTTGGAGTAGCAGGATGATGCTCTAACCAACTGAGCTACGTGGCCAGGACTGATTCTCATCCTTTAAATTAGGTGTAATTATCCCCATTTTGAGGATAAGATAAACTGAGACTTAAAGAGATTAGTGACTATTAGAAATCACATAGGCAGCAGTAACTGGCAGCACATTGGTACTGGACTCTGGGCTATGTATTTGTTTTTAATCCCAGCTCTTCGTGACAAACACATGTCCTTTTGAGGCCCAGGCACAGAGGGAGCTGGCTACCCTTCCCTAGCCTGCCTCTGCTGGGTCCCTTCCCTTCTGCCCAAAGGCAAAGAGGGCTGAGGAGGAGGGACCAGCTCTTCTCTTACACCTGCCTCCTGGTTAGGAAAGGAAGGACCAGTTTTGCTTACAAAATCCTTCTCCTTCCAGTCCTTGCTGTGTGGGAGAGACCATGAGAGGCCTGAATGCTGTCAACCAAAGACTTGATTGAACAAGCCAAGGAGTGATTATGTTGACAAGAAGGGGACCTCAACAAGGCAGATAATCAGAAGCTGACAACTGACAGCCTGTTAGCATCCCCCACCCACAGGCCTCTTACATGATCTTGATGACAAATAACACACTTTTAACACATTCTAATCTTCACCTGCATTAGTTCGCCTCTCACAAGAACAAGAGGCACCCAAGGCTGGGCTTATAACAGAAACAGAAAGTTTGTGGGGCCAGAACCCAAGTGTCCTGCTCCATTTTACCTAATGAAATATATATAGGGCTTAGCACGGACCACGTCGTCTGTTAAATATTTTACAACTATTAACTTATCTACTTTTCGTCACCACCATGTGAAGATGGCATTAGTATTATCTACGTTTTTAAACAGATAATGAACCTGAGGTATAGTAAGGAAGTGTCTTGTCTAAGGTCGTACAGCTGGCAAGTGGCAGAGCAGGGATTTTGAAGCCAGTTGCCTGGCCCTGGGGTCTGTGCGGAATCGCTGCACCAGGTGGGCTTGCCACAGTGACCACATTTGGAACTCTCGTTTGTTTTCCTGGTGATCCCCCTTCCCCCACCTCCCTCAGTCTTCATGGTCCACTGGAACAAGCAAGCCAGAGCTACGGCTCCCAGGGTGATGATCCTTCAGCTGCCTCCTTGGCACTGTCATTCTCGCCTCCCATCTCTTGCCAAGGGCTCCCGCCTGGAATACCACAGACACTTTGCCGTGGACCAAGATTTCTCTGGAGAAAGAGCTCATAGGATGTCTGCTGCGAGAAATAAAGTAACTTCCCGTTTCCCCTCTTCCCTCATCAGGAGGAGCCAGGTGACATCATTGCACATTTGCACAAGTGCTATCAAAGTTCAGCCTCTGGCCAGTTTGGAGACATATGAGGGCTCCTGTGTCCAGTGACTGAATGGCTGCATGGGAAATCTGAGGTGGTGGAGGACTGAAATAAAACTTCTGTGGGAGAGTTGCATGTCATTTATTCAACAGTGCTCCCTGATGTGGGCCCGGGGTGTGCACGTGAGCTTGAATAGACTTGTTCATTCTTTGACTTATCATCCACTTATTTATTCAGTAAATTCTGATTGCATCAGAGCAGCACTGAGCTGGGTGTCAAGGATAGGCAAGATAACATTCCTGCCCCGCAGGGCTCAGCCTAAAGAGGGAAGGCAGGAGCAACATCCACTGATTTCTACCAAATACCAAGGTAGGAGAGTCATTTAGCACCGCCATTTGACATTGCTAACCCCAGTGCTCTCCCTCCCTTGCCTCTCCACATGCTCAGGTGCCCTTTACACATAGCAGGAGCAGCCCCCCTCCCTCAAACTTCTTTCTGGCTGGATCCCACCTTCCTTGTGAGCTGGACCATTTTTGTCAAAGAAGCCTCATTTCCTTTCTTCTTAGTAGTCATGGCTTGGCTGCAGACAGCAACAAATGTGGCATGAAGCAGTGGAAATAAGCCTCCCGGGTCAGGAAGGCATCCTGATGGAAGGGGGAGGGCTATTCCCCCCCCACCACCACCACCTCCCCTGTTTCCTGGGCCCTGAGGCTGCCGAGTGCAGCTAGTATCACCTGAGCTCCTCACATCCTGTTTCCAGCTGGGTTTGGCCAGCAGAGGTCCTGGCAGGGAATGGAGAGAGGACCCA